CTTCATGTTGGCCCTTCTTTTTCATTGGGAAACGCTGAAGCGTCTCCTCAAGAAGCTTGGGTGGTACGTTCATTAGATTCGTTTCTCTGTACATGCTATTAGCAAGATAGTAAGTGTTTTCAGTTTGAAGTAAAGAATTGTTTGGTATCTGCAGGCACTTTTCCCTATTTCCTGTGTAATAACGAAAAACGGGAGGTTCCCCGCTAAAGCCAACAATATTTTGGAACGATATAGCCAGTTCCCACACCTACAAACTCATAAACCGCAGACAACATTTGAAAACGGAACTCGCAGAGTCCATCTGGAACTCTCTCTGGGGTTAGTTGGACTCCAAAAAAAGAACTTCTATTGGTCTTATCGGTTATTAAGTATTGCCAAATTCCATTTGCAGGTCGTTGGAGGAGATTTGGGTAACGGTTCTGAACATAACCGGTCCATTATCAGGATGGTCCTTTGCAGATGGCAAACCTCCAGGTGACACACAAAGAACCCTCCTTTTCTTTCTCGTAACGCATTTACTAAAAACCGTAAAACCAAAATGGCTTATTGTTGTTTGCAGCACCTGAACTCCCACCGGGTGGTCCTCCCTCGTACATATTGAGACTGAGTGGCAACAGCGATGAGAAGTGGAACTTCTGGTTAGAAGCAAGTAGCGAAGAAGAAGTGAGAGTAGATGTAGCTGTTCTTGATCAACGTCTTGATGAAGAAACTATACATTTGAAGGGCCTTTTCCCAAAATGGTCCGATGTCATTGCCTACACTAGCTTTCTCTCTACTTACTTCTTCTGACCATAGACTATACATATCTCCTTTTGCTTCTTGAAAAACATTAGAGAATAAACCCGTTCTTATTCACACAGGCAGTATTCTCCAATGGTTTTTAAAAATTTATTTCTATATATAGTATGGATATCATTTTTAATTTTGCCATAGAAAAAAAAACATATCATTTTTTATGTTTATATTTTCTTTGTTGATATAGTAATTGTGATACTTGATTCTTTGATAATGTTTATACGTATAATTTTGTTGTGGCAACTATTTTATGTTCTTAAATTAACTCTTTGATCAAAAGATTTACCATCATATTAGTGAATGTACAAAGAACACAATCAACACAAGCCATCTGCGTCTTCGTCACCTTGTGGACTTCATATGCATTCTCTCATTACAAAATCCAATAGTATTTTATCAATTCAAAGACATCAAAGATCAGAACTACAAAGACAGCTTTTTGTTCATTCAAACGACATTTGTAGACCGCCGGTACCAAACACGGCACGTTATTAAAAACAAACACAAGAACACTCGTTTTATCAACTGAGATCTTCAAAGAGATGGATCCTATTGACCAGCAAAGATTTAACATACTCCACGAATTTTCCTGTGAGATGAGTATATCCATCACCTTCAATGTAAGTGATATTGACCGTGCGTGCTAAATCGATGGCTGACTTCCATACTTGGCGGCTTACAGGGAGTTTCTTCAACAACTCCTCATTCATTATCTTATCAGCATCTTCAACCATTTTAGAAAGCTCTCTAATGGCTTCCTCTTCGGTGACACCGTATTGCTTCATATAACAGTTTGCCCCAGTTGTGACATATCCTCTACTCATGTCTTCCTAATCAAGTCAGAAGAACAATAGGTTAAAGATTGTTATATCGATCACAAATGAGACGTAAAAAATGTTTTAACATTGAAGACTCATTAATCTCACAGTCATCTAATTATTAAATAGAACCATATGAATCTTCACGTTATATCATAGTCAACTCAACGAAACCAAAAATGTTATCAAGTAAGAAAATAGGATTTGGGTCAAGATTGATGAGCAGAAAGAAAAACTCTTGTGATCTAATGGAAATATTTCATGTAACAAAAAGATTTATCATCACAATGGAAATTCTGAGACGATAGTGTAGACTCAAGGATTAGTAAGAGCCGCAAAATTCAAGACACTTTAACCAGAAATATAAGAATCGATTTGTGTGTTTGTACCTTATAGCCGGCAATGTCATTCATTAGACGCGTTTTTCTACTTAGTGATCGAAGGAGTGTAGATCAATTGGTCTCATATCCATAAAGTGGTTGCCATTGTCGCATATATTGTAATCTCGACCTCACCAATCTCAATGTACTCCTCAAAACTTGGCACATGACCGATTCGTGCCCATTTGGCAAGGTTTAAATTAGCTTTCACAAGTGTCTTAAACTGCAACCAATATGTTTCTTAGAAGTTTAAATAAGTTACAACTATGCTTTTGTTATAAATTTAACATAGAAGTTTGATGTACACACATATCTACGAACTTTCATAATGAATTATTAGTTTGATTCAAATCAATTGCGAAAGAAAGGGATACATTTAAAAGAGTTTGGCAGATTACTCTTTAATAAACCTTTTGCTTAATCTACCCTTTGAACAATTTAACATGGATTATGCTTATCGGCTTTCAGGTTTGTGCAACTACTTTAATATCTCGGTGCAATGGTGTTCATTGGTTGTAATGTCTCTAGTACTCTCTTGATTGATTGCACATTTTCAATGTCTTGTACCGAGTAAAAGGAAACATGTATTGTAAACAAAAACATATATGTATTGTTTTACAAATTTTAAATTTTTTCTTAAGAACCCCACCATTGGAGGAGACAAAACTTAAGAACACCAATTCCACTTCTTAAGTTTGATAAAAGCAAAATTTAAACTTAAAAAATGGTTAGAGCCCTTCATGTGATTCTCACCATTGGAGATTGTCTTAGAGGCGGAAGGTAAAAAATTCGTTAATGGTAATTTAATATTGTGAATGACTTCTACAATATTTGAGAGTGATTTGCTAAGTTTGGAGCAATAGTTTCAACTCTACGATTCAAGACTAGTGGGGAATCTTTGTAAGAAGTAAGGAAATCAATCTTTGTAAGGAGTAATTATTTACCCATTGTTTTACTTTTAATCAAAATGTAATAAAGTAGCTCATTCTTTAGCAAAGCATGGAGTATAAGAACATCAACCTTTGTAAGGAGTAATTATTAATTAGCTTCTATTCTAGTTGTATCTTTCCAACAATGTGGTTAACTTCTGTTTTGTATCATATCTATGTGTCTTCTCAAGTAATATAATTTCATATTTTCCCAAAAAAAAACAATGAATGATAATGAGAATCAATTGTTGCATATAAATGATTATACCCTTTGAAATAATATCTTACAAAAGTATTTTGTTTTAATATTTCCGTATAAATGATTATAACATTATCAAAAAAAATAATTTATTGCATTTATTATTAAGAGAAAAATCAAAAGTTGAAAAGAAGAAATAGAAAAACTGAAAAAGATAAAGAAAAACAGAGAAGAATAATAGCTCAATTCATACTCTTGATGGACTTTATTAGAAAGCCCGTAAAGTCATTATAAATGGACAAGTCTCATTCAAACACAAATAAAACTAGGGTTTATGCTTCACTCCTATGAGGAGCCGAATTTCAGCTATATTATCACCGAAGTTCTTGAATGAACATCACAGACAAGACACTCGATATATTTTAATGTCTATAAAATCTAATAACCATTCACCATCATCTATGATATGCTTTTAATATTTCACACTCTAAAACGACAACATTCTTATATGAAGATTAGCTAGAACTATTTGATTAAATAAATGAGGGAGCATTTTTTTTTCAAATGGCAGATATATCATAAACAATTATTTAGTTTTAGTATATATGTTATGAAGCAATCACTACTATGAAGGAAACTTGTTTATCTTCTTATTTTCATTACATATAGTATTTTATATACAAGTAAGCATGCTCACATGGACATATGATATAACTGAGTAATTAAGATACACTATATAAATTACATATAACAAAATGTCAAATGTCATTAGTAATCATGAGTCTCTATTGTGATTCTTGTCTCATAAATGAGGTTTTAAGAAAATGATATACAACTAAAACAACATATTCCACCAATATATACAAAATATGTACATATTTTTTCTATTGATAAGTAAGTAGAACTCCATTCAACCTCATGAGAGTTGAACAGAAGTGACGGAAAATATAGAAAAAAAAAAAGAGTTGAACATAACTCTATCCTTAGATTCGAAAACTACTCACCATGTTTATTTTTGAGATTTAATGATGGATTGGACAGTTTTTAGGCCAAATTTCGTATGCCACTATTTTCAAGTAAAATAATTTCATATTTTGTCTCGAATAACAAAGAAGAATAAAAATGTCATGAGTGATAATGACTAATGAGAATCAATTGTTGCATATAAATGATTAAACCCTTTGAAATAATATCTTATAAAAATAAATTGTTTTTATATTTCCATATAAATGAATATATAATTATCGAAAAAATAATTTAATGCATTTTTTATCAAAAGAAAAATCAAGAGTTGATAAAAAAGAAAAGAAAAACTGAAAAAGATAAAATAAAAACAGAGAAGAAGCCCAGTTCATAGTCTTAATGGGAATTATTAGTAAGCCCGTTAAGTCATAACAAATGGATAAGACCCATTAGGCCCATTTTAAAAATACTAAAACTAGGTTTCGTAGGGTTTATGATTCCCTCTTATATAAAGTCTCGTCTTCACAAATCTCACAACTCTTCTGCAGCCGATTCTTCTATTAGCCGCCATGGTAATTGCTTAAGCTTCTCTATTCTCGCTGATTTGACCTAGAGATCGTCTTCCCTAATTTTCTTTACCTTCTCTTTACTGATTTCGCAGGTGAAGTACTCGCAAGATCCCGACAACCAGACCAAGTGTAAGTAAATTTCCTTGTAACAAATTCTTTCTTAGTACCATTTCGTTGTTTTGATCTTTGTTGTAATCTTTGGTTTTTGATTTTGCAGCTTGCAAGGCTAGAGGATCCGATCTTAGGGTTCACTTCAAGGTATGTTATAGCTCTGTAATCATTTTGATTATTCGAATGTAGTTAGATTTATGATTAGGAGATTGTAGTATTAGGTTAAACCTGATTGAGAAAAAGCAGAGTTCTGTTGCAATTTACAGCAGATCTCACGTATACTTCAGGGAAATTGAATTGGTCATCGTGATTGGGTGAATCTATGTTTATTTTTTCTCATAACTATAAGATTCAGTACATGATGGTACATTGATTTATCATTTCACAGTTATGGTTTGTGAGTTTTAGGGTTTTTTGGTTAATCAATTAGTAGGGCTTTGTTGCATTGTTCTTATGTAAACCTATGTCGAATTTTAGTGACTTCACATCATTTACTGAACCATTGTGTGGTTCTTATTGTGTTTTGTTTTCTGTGGATTGTGTGAAACAGAACACTAGGGAAACAGCGCACGCCATCAGGAAGCTACCATTGATCAAGGCGAAGAGGTACCTTGAGGATGTGATAGCTCACAAGCAAGCAATTCCCTTCACACGTTTCTGCAGAGGTGTTGGTAGAACTGCTCAAGCTAAGAACAGGCACTCTAATGGTCAAGGACGTTGGCCAGCCAAGTCTGCTCAGTTTGTTCTTGATTTGCTCAAGAACGCTGAGAGCAATGCTGAGGTCAGAATAACATTCTTTTAATTATGAATGTTTGTAATCGTTTTTATTTCTCTCTCTCTGCCCTTTTGCTAATAAGCATAATTTGACTTTGATTATTCAGGTGAAAGGTTTGGATGTTGATGCCCTCTTCATATCACACATCCAAGTGAACCAGGCCGCAAAGCAAAGGAGAAGGACTTACCGTGCTCACGGAAGAATTAACCGTAAGTTTAAGACTTTGTAAATTACTTGCATGGTTAGCTGTGTATCCATTTGTCTGACTCAATTGGGTGTTTCTTGGTTGCAGCTTACATGTCCAACCCATGTCACATTGAGTTGATTTTGTCAGAGAAGGAGGAGCCTGTCAAGAAAGAGGTAATGTTTTTTCTCACTGGATATTCAGGATTTGTGTTAATAGCAGTGATTCTGATTTCGTATTGTTTCCTTTATAATTGTAGCCGGAGACTCAGTTGGCTGCCAAGTCCAAGAAATCTGCAGCTTAAGCTCTTTCTATGTTTTATTTTTATGTCTCTTATGTTCTTGATCGAGATTTTGTTCCCTTTTTCTTTAGCTTGAATCGTTTTGTAAGACCATGGATAGATTTTTCTTGGAGATTTTCGTTCAATGTTACTGTTATGAAATCATTGGTCATGGCCAGTTCTTTAGTAGTACTATTGTTATCTTGATAATTCTGCAATTTTAATATCTTCTGTTTCTGTTACTGACACAAACAAAAGAACAGGGTCCAAAAGATCTGTACAAACATTTTCTTTGTGGAAACATGATTTCTCTTACTGTTATTTATTCTCATTCTCAATGGCTCGGATGATTGGGTCGTTCTCAATGTCCAAGTCACTGTCTTCATCTTCGAACTCATCCAGCTCACTGATCATTGTCTGTTTCGTTTTCTTCCTTGACTCTCTCCTATGCTTCTTAGGCATTAGCCGCGGTTCAGCATGTTTCACGCCCATGTCTCCCACCTTGTACCTGTGGTGTCAAGGATGATTCCAAAGTAGACTACATTAGTGAATGTGACCAATCTCAAAAGAAATCTGTTGTTTGAGGAGAAATCCCAACAATACCTAACATCATCTTCCTTTTTGGTTCCAAAAGTCCTAAGCTGAAACTCTTCCCTGATTCTGATCTCATCAAGCAGTTGTAAGTAGTAAGGATACCTTTCCCAATCACCTTTCACAACACATCCTGGTTCCCCAATATGCAAGCAATCTCTGAATCCACATTTTTCGCCCTCAATCATGTTCCTTATCTAAATAAAACAGTTTAGAAAACAACACACGGTCACAATCAGTCCATAAGGAAATGAGCATAAGCCAAAGAAGAGTACAAACCTCAGGAAAGCAGTGTGCAAGTGATTGCTTTGTAACTTTCAGCAAACTAGGCTGGTTAAAGCCAGGTGTATCAGCGAGGTAACCACCTTCAGAAACCGGCAGTAGCGATACATTTCGTGTTGTATGTTTACCTCGACCACTTCTAGTAGACACTTCTCCTACTCGCTGATCATCAAACCACTTATTACCTAACATCTGAATATCACAAAAGCTCAAGTCATGAGAATATGGCAAACAGAAGTTAACCTGTAAAATGAAATAACACAAAAGAACCTTACAGGCTCAAACCAATTCTCATCTTCCACGGCACCACCACCATGGTTACTCCTCAATATGTTGATTAAGCTCGACTTTCCCACACCACTAGGTCCAACAATCACAGAAGTCTGATTCCGCAGAACAAACGCAATGGCATCAAGTCCATCTTTAGTTCCCACACTACAAAACAATGGTTCATAGTTCCATCCACGCAATCTTATCTTCCACGATTCCAATTCCTGTAAACAAGTTTATGATTCTAATCAATCCCTAAAGCAACAAAGCTAGTAGTGAGCTATACAATTTCTTCCTCCTCCTTACCTCTTCACTAATGAGTTCAGTTTTATTCAAAGCAAGTGTGAGTGGAATACGAGTAGATTCAGCTTCCACCAAGAACCTAGTGAGAGTAAACGGCTCCAGTTTCGGTTGATCCAAAGAGAAAAGAACCAGTAAATGATCAACATTCGCAACCGGTGGATCCAAAATCTCGGAGCGGCGATGAAACACATTCTCAATCATTCCTCTCCGATCAACCCAATCAATAGATCCAACAAGAACCTTATCTCCAACCAAAACTCTCCTTCGTATCTTCTTCAACACAGCTCTCACTACACAAAGCAACTCAACACCAGTCTTTGAAGAATCATCATCACCAATCTTCACAGAACTAGCTACATCTTGAACAATGACGCGCATAAAGTTCGCTTGAGCTGTTGCGACTGTGCCGATAGCTTGAGACTCTAAGAGCGAAGGTTTATGCTCCGGCGATAGAACCGGTGACAAAGAGGAGGAGTAATTTTTACCGATATGCTTCGCTCTGAGCATATTCTTGCTCGGTTGGGGTTTTCTTGAGACATCAGGATTATCTCTTCTCGCTGAGAGAGGAAAAAAGCTGCGACGGATTCCGATTCCGATTCCAACTCCGCCGTGAAAAATCGCCGTGCGACGGAGGAACGTAGAAGAGTGACGGAGGAGTGAAATTGAAGATGTCTGCATAAGAAAATTCTTGAAGAATCGATGACTGTGTAGTGAGGAGAGAGAGTTGTGGAAAGTTTATGAAGAAGATTAGAGTAATGGGCCTTATGTGATAAGTGTTATGGGCCCAAAGTTTTGGCCCATCTAATGCATATATAATCGACCGTAAATGTGTGGGAAGGTGTGATAGTTCAATCAAAACCCTAAACAATGGCTTGAGGAGGTATGTTTGAGATATTTTCCATGTCATTCATTGGGATGGCTTATTGTTATTGGTATCGATGACGATTGATGATTATATACTACACATACCGATAACAACAAGCCATCACAGTGAATGACTTGAAAATATCATTGCAATGGTTTGGTTAGACTTGAAAATATCATAGGAATGAGTTGAAAGTTTTAACAAGATTTAAAAGACTTGAAAATGTTTTGATTTTACCAAAGTAAGATTTGGACCAAGTTTTCCTTTGCAATTTTTTCATATTGATGGGTTTTCGTTTTCCTTGAGAGCTTGATTAAGAAACTTATTGGACTCTCGCTCTTGTAGTTGTTTTGTTGAGAATTTCTCGTATTTCATGATACTTTGCCAATCCATGAAAACAAAACAAACATTGAAAAATGTTTAAATTTTTCTTTTAAAGGAATCTAGAAACAAAATTAGAATAAAATGCAAGTATAGAATCTAGATTGTTGTGTGAATGTCAAAATCCGGTATGGTGAATTTAGGAATAATTAAAAAGAATCAGGAGCAATTAAAACTTCCACATATGAAATCATAAAACAGGTCTTCTCTACCATTTCAAAGGAAATAGGTGAAGGACCAGCTGAATGCTTACTTTGTTTTGATTTTACAAGAGAGAGATTTGGACCGCGTCTTCCTCTACCATTTCAAGTTGCTAAGTTTTATACTGTAGCTCTCTCCTCTGTTAGAGATGAACATCTTGCGGTGTTATTTAATAATCGGGATGCATCTAAGATGGAGATCAACTAAAATCGAACCCAATGCGGTGTCATGGAACAACTTCTTAACAGTTACTGATTTTAGAACTAGGATTTTTATTGGGAGTTTCTTCATTGACCAAGAGAAGCAACTCGCCCTAGTTTTTGATATATTCTTTCCTAAAGAATCCATTGGCAACATAGCTTACATCATTGGAGATAATGGATACTTGAGAAAATTGGATCTCGGAGTACATGTCATGCCGTTACGTCACCTACCAGTGTGCTTTTATGCTCCTAGTTTAGTGAAAATCAACCAAGGCCAAGAACTATCGGTTATCGGGAAAAAGAAAAGATCGAGATTATTAACTAGTCTTCTTTACTGTACATTATTTGTTTCTTTCATCATCTTCTTCTCGTTCATTTATTCTGTTTTCTTTTGATCAAGATTGGTCAATTATGGTTATTTTTTTATGTAAATATATTTATATCATATGATTGAAGACTACCAATTAATTATTATGGATTAACAAAGCTTACGGGGTTTCTTGTACCTAGCTTTCCCCTTGTAGTTGTGTTGTTGAGAATTTTAACTATTATCGAAAAAATGAAAAAAAGACCAAACTTTAAAAAACTCTAGAACATGTTTAAATTGAGGAATCTACAAACTAAAATTAGAGAAAAGTTCCAGGGGAAAAAAAAGAAAATTCACAAGTGTGTTACAATGCTCTAAATCCAAGTATATAAAGTACATAAGCAGAAGCCACACACTGCAATTGCTCCCGTGGACTATAATTAAGATTTCTAGTACTATACAATGATTGTAACAGTTAAATTTCTGTGTGATGATTTTCATAATTGTGAAAATAATTTGGGGTCAAAGCTTTAAACAATTTAATTGGACGACTTACTGTCTTGGGATTCTTTCTCAATGCAATTCCATATGGATTTTTTTCCGAGAGAATGCACGAGACCATGACTGGGAGAGGTATGTCAAACACATAACATTATCTACAGCGTTTTGATAGATGTTTTAGAGAGAGGTGACATCTTTGTGTTTTGTCTTGCGTCTCTATTCTTCTCTT